TTCCTGGTAATAAGCTACAAGTATCTGTATGCTTTTCTATGCTCAGGTGGGCACTTCTCCTAGATTAATCCTCTGCATAGCTTTACCTACTAACCTGCACTAGTAACTACTGTGCTCCCCTTAGGGGTACCTTTACTATCAAGGCTTACTTTATTTTTATATCTCTATCTGTAATACCCCCCTGCATATTTACCAGATTTCTGGCAGGATTTATTGGCTAAGACCAGATTTCTGGCAGCTTCATTCTCTAAGTTTAACCTACACTTGCAATTAACTTATACCTCTCTAGTGACCTGTCTTTTGGTCCCCAGTACTTTGTAATTGTGTTGGCTTAGATCCAATATTTGTGAGGTTTAACCTCACTTCCCTATATGTATTCTTATAAGGGATATTTCCCTTCTGGCCATACATAGAGCCAGTGTGACTCTTTTACCATTATCTTATTTTATGTGTATCCCCTGTTTCATTAAAGGTATAATACCCACGTTTTCCCTCCTTTTCTTTTTTTTTCTTATTTTTCTGTGTTTGATCTCTCCCCTCCTTATGACAAGTACAATTACTTTAGGGGTATAGACCACCGAATGAGCAGGTCTCTACCCTCATATTCGTATGTTTGGTGGATTCCTAGCTTATTTTTTTCTTCTTTTTTGTCTATTCCTTTCCCTGGGGTTAAGCCCCCTATTCCCCTAGTAACCTCTTGGCAGAGCTTAAGGTGTTGGCTGTCTTCCAACACCCTATACCCTCTGTTTCTTCTTTTTATGTTTATAAATAGGTTAATCCAGCCTCTAAAGCCTCTAGTGGCTGTCTCATTGACAGCCGCTAGAGGTGTTTGCGTGCTTCTCACTGTGAAAATCACAGTGAGAAGACACCAGCGTCCATAGGAAAGCATTATGAATGCTTTCCTATGAGACTGGCTGAATGCACACGCAGCTCTTGCCGCGCATGCGCATTCAGCCGAAGAGGAGGAGAGGAGGAGGAGAGGAGGCGGAGAGGAGGAGGAGAACTCCCCGCCCGGCGCTGGAGAAAGGTAAGATTTTAACCCCTTCCTCGCCCCAGAGCCCTGCGGGAGGGGGTCCCTGAGGGTGGTCCTATAGTGGTCCTTTAACAATACTTTATCTAGATCATACCATGAATTAGCACTTTAGCATTATTAAGCACAAAACTGTGATTCGATAAACTATTGTGTTTGTGGCACTATTTACACTGTTGGAACTTTAAATACTGTTTTTAAGTCAGTTTTATATATATGTTGCATGGTTTATATAAGTACTTCACTTGTTTTTAGTTTTTTAGTTTTTTTTAAAGGAACACTATAGGGTCAGGAACACAAACATATATTCCTGACCCTATAGTGTTAAAAACACAATTTAGGTGGCTTGCCCCTCCATGCCCCCTTAGAAAGGGTTACAATTACCTTATTTCCAGCTTTCCACAGATCTGCAGGTGGCTGACATCATCAGGATTGCTGACTTTAGCTAACTCAATGTTTTCCCACAGGGAAAGCATTGGATTGGCTGAGATTGTCATGGAGGCAGGGGTGGGGTGGGGACGGGACCAAACACCATCCTAGCCAGTCAGCATCATCTCATAGAGATGCACTGAATCAATTTATCTCTATGAGGAAAGTTCACTGTCTCCATGAAGAGCATGAATACGGTGCAGCACTGTCCCAGGAAGCACCTCTAGAAGCCCTCTTAGGAGTGGTCACTGGAGGTGTCCCTAGGTTGTAATGTAAACACTAAATTTTCTCTGAAAATACAGTGTTTACAACAAAAAGCCTACAGGTACTGACTACACTAGAACAAATACAAGAAGCTGTGTTTGGACTGGTGACTTTAGTGTCACTTTAAATATATAAGCATTGTTCTGGTCATTTAAATGCAATAGCCCTAAATCCTACAAGGTTAAATATATTGCATTTATAATTTCTTGTTTGTATACAACAACAATACAGTACACCTATTTGAAAATGTCTTATATAATTATTTACAATATAAAACATTCTTAGCCAAGTGACCTTGTTCTCACTTGTTTTTCTACTAACCTTTTAACAGATGCAGAAGACAAGCAATGTAGCTTGGGGCGATACTGTTGTAATCACAGGAAAGTGATTCCTTTGACTCACATTATTGTAGACTGACTGAAGGGTTTCATTAGGTTTAGACATATTCTTCTGAAAATCAGACCTGGTAATCATAGCAGGTAAATATATTAGTACAAATTTATACAAAATTCAGTGCACTCCACTTTTAATCACAGAATGTTTTTACAACTTTTAACTACAAATAATAGGAATGTAGTTTCAGTATATAATCTCACACTGAATAAGCCTATCACAATATCAAAGCAAAACGTTTGTTATGTCCTCCTCTAAACCAAACTAATGCCTAAGATTCACCTACTTACTTGTGAAAGTGAAACCCATACTTCTGGGACTCTCTCAAGTGCAAAGTTAAATAGCCCTCTCTGTCTTCCATGTACAATTTACAGTTTATTAGTAGAGTCACAAGTCACTGCAAAATTTAGAAAATGTAAATCTCTAAAAATGTAATGCATGCATGTTAACTACCACAATGTTAAGTAAGTAATTTTATTTTTTATGGCAATTCATGCACGTAAATAATTTTTACTAACCTTCATTCCATATCGCAACTATTTCAAACAGCGGGTCTTGAACTACAGCCAGGATGGGCCTGTCCATTGACACCAGTGGTGCCATGGCCACAGGTGGCACTGTGAAAGGGACTGCATTGTGCCACCCCTGTACCTTTAACAAATCTGGAGTGTTGAGCCCGGGCCGAATATTTGAGAGTATTGCTATATATATGTGCAGTTCCAGGCCTCGGTTACGTCCCCTCAAAAGAAGGATTATGGAACATCTCCACTCAGTACCTTTAAGGACACCCCTGTTGCTAGACATGTCAGACTGCACCACAAAGATTTCCCCAAAGGCATTAAATAAGCAGGAATTGAAAAAATCCATATGGCAAAAGGGTTGGTGACCAACTCTAAAAAAAAAAAAGAGTGTTTCTGGATCCATAAGTTTGACTTATGCACCACTGGAATGCCTCTCTTGAGGGAAGTTGGATGGTGACTCTCCCATCTGAGCATGGTATTAGTTGAAGTGGGTTTGCGGTAGAGTGTAGTGTTGATCTCAAGTTTATTTGTTATTGTTAGTGTACAATCGAGGAAATTCAGTGATTGGGTACCTATCTCCATAGTGAGTCTGAGGTTGAGATCGTTCACATTAAGGATTTCTACAAAATTGGCGAAGAGTTCCCTGGTGCCTGTCCAGACAATGAGGATGTCATATATGTATCTCCTCCAAATTCTGTGATTTTGGAGGAGAAAGAATTTGCAAAGACCCCCAATGGTGACATCACCGCTAGGGGTCCAGTTGATAAGGGGGAGGCAAATATGAGTTTTACTGTCCCTCGCGGATATAGCCACCTTCTCCGGGCAGGTCCTCTTCAGCCGCAGAAGCCAACGTCACTGCTGGTCTTACACATGCACAAGAGTACAGCACTGAGGTCCATAGAGGCTCCCTTTGATAGATAAAGCCAATTCCCTGCAGTCGTCACTGGTGACATTTCTAGATGGCGATAGCTCTGCCCAGTTTCTAGAGGTGTCAAGTGTAGGAAATATATAGAGACAAAGTAGTCTGTACTTTGTCTCAGTATATCTCTTGACTGGGTTGGGATTTCAGTGAAATTCCAGTACAGTAAAATGAGTATTTCACAAAGATTTTATATTTATGAAATACAAATTCTTCAGTGACAGTTCCGCTTTAAGACTAGAGTAGCTGAACTGAAAGGGTAGCTGATTTACAGAATATTTCCAGTTTGATTATATTGAACTAACATTTTAAATTTACTTTGAATTCACTTAAAATTCTCACTTTAGTAAATAACCCTGTTTGAGTTTTGTGGAAAGAAAAAAAAAACAAGGCCATTTATTTTTACTTGTGCCCCAGGCCATAGGTTGCCAGCCATCTCCTGATAATGTCTCCAGCTTTTCCTTTTCAATTTTACTTTATTGAAACATTGTCTACAGTTTCATATAACTTTATTTCTTATATTTAAAGAAAACCCACACATAGCACTCTTTAAGCTACAAGAAAGTGAAGACTACGTTTGGAAAGTTTAATTCTATTTACTCAGTTTTGAAAATCATTCATATTGAGTGTGGCCTAATGGATTGGGCTACAATATTAAAATATTTTAAAAGTATCAGATAATTTAATGGTATAAGATATCACTGTGTTGGACAGGAAAGAAAAGTATTGTGCAATGTCTGATACTTTTAAAAATATCCGAGCATTGCCTTGGTAACACAAAGCAATCAACCGAGTAAGTGGCTGTAGAGAAACAGCACTTGTGTAATTAATATACAGCAATTTTGGAATTAATATACAGCAGTTTGCTAGATAAATAAGAAAACACAAAATAGTGTAGTATATTAGATAAAGCCAGTATAAGTGTAAATATAATCAATATGCACTCACATGGGTTAGAGCCAGATAAGGACGGGCTCAGATCTCACGAGCAGATGTGTTCTAAGGGGACACAGGTCCTCTTCAGTCTTTGTCCAAAGTGGCTCAATGGGACATATAGAACAAATAACAAAAGCAGCTGATGGTGAAGTACAGTTTGAAAAGTGTGAATAATTTTAAGTGAGTAGAAACCTTGCTCACCTGGTTCAGAGCCAATAAGGCCGGGCTCTAGAATAAACAGCTTGTATTTCTCTATAAGGGGGACACTTCCCTTCTTTGGTCCAGGAAGCAGTGGAAATGGAGTAGCACAGACTTAAAGTTTAAAAAATTACATTTATTAAACAAAAGTTCAACATAAATCATATATAAAATAAAAGATAAAAAAAGTCTAAAGTAAAAAAAAAAAAGATAAAATAAAAGATAAATCATATATCGCAGCAATCAACTGAGTAGTCTGAGTTTTTTGTAATTCTTTATTTTTATCGTGCATAGTATTAACATAGCCGATCCTACAATGCCCCAACAGCACATACAGGTTTAAGATGAAACATAACATAGTAAAACATTACTGTTGATCAGCATTTCAATTAGACTGCACATTTTAAGAATGGATAGGTAAAGGTACATTTGATTAACAGACACTTGTATATCTAAGAATGCCAAGAGTTAATTAGACTTGCTTATGGTCAGGATGTCAGTGAATGAATAAGAGCTTTTGCCATAAAACAGGGTGTTCACACTGATATATTAATTATGGGAGATATAGCTTAGGGAAAAGAAGAGCTGGTCAAATCTGGGGCTATGATTTGAATATAACAGGCTTAATGTCCCACTGGTTTATGGTAGAGCAGGGTAATGCTCACCAATGGAGTTTCTTTGGGGGAGTCATGCTGTCCCACGGGTCCAGCTTCAGCGGGCTGCTAGTTACGGCGTGCTGTCTGTCCTGCTGGATATCTGGATCTCACTTGCTTGTGCCTCCGACCTGGTTGTGGTAAAAGTCGAATATCGATGGGAGGGGGAGTCTGGAGCTTATCACACTACCACCCCAGGCTCTGCATGAGCTGACCACTTGTGCCCTCGGTTCTGGTACCTTATATGGCCGGCAACGGGATTCCCAGTAGGTATGTTTCCTCCGGGTGTTGGGCTGCGGTTCGAGGAGTGTTCTCTAAGGGCTCAAGGCCCAGGAAGGCTGTTGTGGCGACCAGGCCCAAGATTTAGGTGGCTGGGTGATGCAGGCGGGTGTTAAAGAAGCTCCTGCAGGAGTCTCAGGAGTCGAGGTGAGGTGCCTCTAGATGGACTGCTGTTCGCGTGTAGCGTGTGTTCGTGCCTGATGTGGGTCTTGGAGCCGCCATGATGTTAGTAGAGCACATGTGCTCATGCGTCGAGCGTGCCCCGTAGGGGGTGAGTGGCTGATCTTCTGTTCCCTCTGGCAGGGGCAGGGATAACTCCCCTGGGCTGTAGGGGTGGACTGGGGCCTGTGAGGTGTTGCACGGGGTTGTAGTGTAACTGCCAGGTTCGCCGGCAGGGCAGCGGCCGTCTGCCCCGCTCCTCTCCCAATTAGGCCGCAGGCTCCGAAGTTTCGTACCGCAGGGGCCCCAAAACTCCCGATCTCGGAGTCTAAGGTGGCGCCAACCTTCTTCCATGCACTTGGGTGGACAATTCCGTTCCTTTAGAGTCCTTAGGGCTATCGATTTCTGCTATTTAGGTTAGATGTAGCAGGAGCCTCAGTGACATGGGACTGGTCAGCATGGCGGTCAGGCCCCGCCCCCCTAGTCTGAGTTTTTTAGAGCAATATGTAGGGTCTGCACCCAATGAAGGTGCAATCCACAAGCTCCCCCAGAAGGGGATTCTTGGCCTTTAAGAGAGATCTCTGATCTCCGCATTGACCCATGAAGGGATAGTGCACATACTTTAAGACAACGCTTTGGTAACGTCAGTCCTAGATGGACCGGTCAAGGAGATCCTTTGAGCTCCTCCATTGGCCTCAGCCCAGGCTATAGAGATCCACTGGGCATTTTTTTTTACCTGATTGCCAGTCCAGATCTGCTGTGTACGCTAAAACAGACAAATGCTTTAAAGAAAAGAAACAAGATGGGACATATCAATAAAATATATATCACTCCTGGACTGCTGAAACCATGGCGCAGACCACCATATCAGGAAGACATCGTGATCCTGCAGGGTAACGGCTGACTGACACGACACACACGGCCTGCCTTACTACCAATTGCTTGTAATACTCACTGCATCTGACAGATGCACTTACCTCTTGAAACAAGACTGTCAGGACATGTAACCAGCTTTAACAATAAGAATGTGTGCCTTTCCTTGACATACCATGCATAAGCATAATTCCCTAAACATCGAACAGCAAACACTAGCTATATCTAGACAGCATGATTTACGTCTCCTTTTTATTAGCCACTAGGCACAGCAGACCTAGCATGTTATTTGAAGTTGATTAGCATAGTTATACCTAGGGATTTCCTTCTTACTCACTCTTTTATTTTTAACCAACACCACTATGATTTACCTTAGTGAATTAAGCTAGAGGCACTGGCAACCCACAAGCAGTTAGTCTGTTAGCCTGCTAGCCTGTCCCAGTAGCTCACCAGCCTCACCCCACAACTGACGTGCTGATCTACAATAAGGCACCCAGCTATGCCAGTTACTCCGCTATTGTCCAGCGTAGGCTAGCCTATCAGGCGTAATTTTTGTAACCAACTTATCACTAATATATTATTGTGCCATGATATTGTTTACCATGTTTTCCATATTAGCTAGTACATGCTGCCGTGACAATACAGGACACCTGCAATGTGCGGTATCTAGACCATGCTACTCTTGTTAACCTCTACTTAATTATAAAATTGTGCATGCTTTCTCATTTACCTCAATGTTACAAATGACTACGACACGCTAGAGGATTGTCGTTGGGGTACCTCACAAGCGACTGTTATATGTATATGCACTGCAAAGAATAAAAAAAATATATATATATCAATCTATATTAAGCTTTAGGATTAGATTAAACATCTTGTTATATCTATAGATGTAAATAGAAAAAAAAACATGAGAAAAAGGTCATACCTAAAGCATTAAATATATAAACTGAGGTTAACAGAAAAGTAAAAGATAATGTTTAATTAAGAACACTAAGCATTAGTGAAAGCAAAACAGATAAATAGAAATTCTGCCAAATAAAAAAAAATCAATTCATAGAGTAAGTAGCAGCTTGAAGCAAATACAAATGAAATACATCCCTGAGTGACAGTTTACATCGCCCTGCAGTTTGATTGGCTGCCAGGTTAGGCATACAATTTACAGAGACGTACCAGTTTTTATATTTTTATTTGCTTCTGGTAAACACTAAGCAGAGATAAATGTTTATCATATTATGATATGAGCCTCTGTGTCTTAACATTAAAAAAAAAAATTTGTAAACGAAATAAGGTATAAAGTTACTAGATTTATTTCCCAGGTATCTCATTAACTCTGAAATAGTTTAGTGTAATTCATTATTGTTTCATGATTAGGCTTGTTACCACATCAGTGAACGGTTTTGCTTAGAGGCAGCTTAATATACAATGATGCTTGGCGTCAGCCCTTGCTTCCATGCCACTGCTGCTGTTTTACATAAAACTAGTTCAGTTATACAAAGTGTTGCTTCATATAGAAGGTTCAAAATGTTTGTGGAGAAACTGCTCCTCATCAGCATCTGCTAAAAAATAGCACATTTTGTGTTCATTCAGTAAGTAAGGTGTTGTGAGTAATTGGGAAGCGGACTGCAAATTATACACCTCAACTCTTATTAAGTGGAGCCTAGTGAGCAACAACAATGACCCAAAATATTTTGTGTAGAGACTGTTAGGCTCTCTTGGGAACTCTACCAGAGAACGACGATGGTAGAATGAGTTTATCATAGTCAACAAGCCCCAGTATACTGCCCTTGAGATGTTATAGTCCAGCTTGCAAAATGTAGGTAGTACAACACAGGCCTATATCACCTATGACAAACTCAAGATGTCTATACTGAGGGACTTGCTGTACCAAACTTCATTATGGAGCATGAGAACTCCATTATCATAGCAGCTATTAGACACAGTTGTGTCTCATTTGTATGTAGACCTCAAGAAGGACTTACATACATCTTCCTACAAAGGCCAAAAATATCATCTTCCTACACTGTTGATGGGGTTGCAGATCCTGGAGGATGACAAAAAGGAAAAACAGAGGTAGTCAGATGAGCATGAAAATATATATATATATATATAAAATATTAAAACAAAGATAAGCTGCATTAAACACTGGATGAGCAAAGGACTGGCCATTCCATCGACATTGCAGCTGGACCATCTCCAGTTCCTCATGGGACACTATCCTATCCCATTTATTTCCACCCTACTTCCATGCCAACAGAGTGTTATTTCCCAATTCTGTACTAAGTCAAGCTTAGTTATGTTTCTGCTTTCTCTTCTTGTTATTTATACATTTTATAGTCCTACAGATGTTTTCCAAAACCTTTTACCTCTTAAGATCTATTGTACGTAGTTTTTGGAGTACCATTTTGGCTTGTTTCTTAACAGATCTTTCCAATAAGATGTAGTTGTAGAAGGATTTTTTCTTCTATAACCTATAGTTTTTTTTTTGTTTTTTTTAAAAACACTGTGTTTGCATAAAGTTCTCTTTGTTTTAGCTATGTTGTTTTAGTATTACACATATGTTTATTGTGGCAATATTATTGTTCTTTCTATTGTGAGTATAACACAATAGTAAATAAAAAGAGACCGACAAAATAAAAACTCTAAAAAAAATTTATCAGTGCTATTACTGTGATCTGCCCCTACCCTGCCCTAGGGTCCTTTTTTTCATAGACATTGGTGATACAAGAATCTTCTGCAGATCTGCTCCCTTCAGGGTTTTGATGCTCTAAATGCTGATTACGTCTGATAAGACTTAACATTCCTTATTGGATGCAGATATGATGATAAAATAATGATGATATTGTCTGGGTTTCAGAAATGTTGGTGTGGCATTAGGCATATGTATTTATTACTGGCATTTATAAAGCGCCAGTTAGAGGAGAACATTCAATGTACACAGACAAATACAAAAGGTAAACAGGGCCCTGCCAGGAGACATATGTATTCATCACCTCAGGCTGTAACCTAGCACAATAGGCAGGAAAGAAATAATTCCTAACATATAGAATGTTTTACCTCTTAAAGGAACACTATAGTGTCAGGAATACAAAAATTTATTCCTGACACTATAGGTCTGGAAAGATCAAGAATGAAATATATCCTCATCATGACATACCATTTGCAAAAATAAACCCAGGGTATTTAAAATAGGGTATGTCCATTCTTTTTTAGTAGACAAACCCTGCCAAAGTTTGTGTTCATATGTATTTTTGGCATTTTTCACAGAAAAATGCACTTTTACTGATGATTTCATCATCATTATACGTTTTTAAATCTCTAAAACACTCATATTTGTGTTCAGCGATGTACTCACAAGTACAGCAGTACCTCCTCCAGCCCCTCAAAGTACAGGATTTATGGGATTTTGGAAAGTTACAGGGTAAAATATAGGAATTACTCTGGAATTTCTGTCTGGGTTGTCAGGCAGGCCCCCAATATACAACTAATAAAATAATATAATTATATAAAAATAAGATATAAATACTTAGAATTACATTTTCTATATATATTTATATTCTAAGTGTATTTTTATAAATTATGTATATATAATTATATTATTTTTATTAAATAAATATTGCGGGATTTGCCTGACGATTGCGGTCAGCGTGGAGGGTATTTGGTAAGGAAGGGAGGGCTCGATCGTTAGGGCGTGCTATATCGTTCTAACAGTGTTAAAGTCCTCCTTTTGTTCTGCTCCCACTTAAAGGCCTATTCCAAACATCATCACCACTGCAGCCCACTGCATTGGTTATGATGCCAGGAGTATCCTGATGTCATTCCCTAGTAATGGGTCAATCTAATTTGTAACAGGTTGCCCTCTTACTTAGGTCCAGACTAATGTAATCTGCAAAAGACTGATGCTTATGCTGATTCTCATCCGTTGCCTGAGAGCATCAGCTGGGCGGACCCAGGCAATGAATGAGCATCTGTGTATCGGACTCTTGTCCCGGCCTGGCTAAAGTTTCAGCCTTAGTTACATTTCCGGCAACATCACTAAATATCTCGGTATGTGCAGCATTTAAAAAAAAAAAAAAATGGCTGTATATACAGACTCCAAACGTCATGACTACTTAAAATCACTAAAGTGGTCATGGTGCTAGAAGTAACCCTTTAGCCCTTTTGTAAAGGCAGTCGTACACTGGTTAATCAATATAACAATTCACAAGAGAGGGAACCTGATTCATTTTTGAGAGGATATCCCTTCCTATGTCTTCTACTACAGACTGAAAATCCGTGCTAATTCAGTATTTTTTGAGATTTAAAACCATTTAAAGATTTAAAGTTATGTAATGTAATTTTAAAGAAAATGATGTGTCATTTCTGGTCACTCCACTAAACTTACTTTTTCTATGAACCCTGTCTTTACCATTTTGTCATGTGATATGACATAGTTTATAACCCCAACTTGCTTATTGTTTTATGGTTTAACATAAGCAGATATTGTTACATTCTTGTCACATAACCTGTTAATCAAATAGATTTCCTGGGGTATTATGACATTGGTCAACACAAAAAGTGTCCCCTTACATTGTGCTTTATTTACATCTGAACATTAAAGCCCTGTACATTGTAATTTTCAGTTTAACAAAAATACATTATATAATATTTAATACTATATATCACAGGGACAGTCAATCTAACTACAAATCCATACTAGAATACCATTATCTTCCATTACTGCTTGTACAGTTATTTTAGCAATCTCTTTCTCTAAATCTTTTGTTGCATCAGACAAAATCTTTCTGTTTGCAGTGGCATTATTAAATATTTCCTTAATATAATTACTTATATTAAGTATGATCTCAATGCTTTAGGGGTTTCAATCAGATTGTTGTTTCCGATCTATAGTAATAAAATAAATTTCTATAAAACTTTATAAATATTACACATAAAGCACTTTTATTCCCTAAATTATCTAAATCATACATAGCAAGTAATAGCAGATCTCTTACATAGGTGTCACCATCACCAATTGTCTAATGTGTCCTATGCAAAATGAATCTCTGCAAAATTCTACTGTTTTTCACAGTGTTGCAGGAAAAGTGTATGTTGTTGCTAGAGATAGCTAAACATAAATTAAGCAAATAAAAATATATAAAATATAGACCACACGGCATTAAAATGTATAACTTTAAATTGCAAATGTCTTTGATGGATGGGTTAAGCGCGTCAGCTAGTCATAATCTGTGGTTTTAAAAGGACACTCTAATAGTGGCTATGGTGCCAAGTGTTCCGGAGCACCATCTGTCAGTTATCTGACAGTTTCCAAACAGTTTGAATTACCTTGTTGCGTCGGGCACCTGTGGTCCTTCTGGTGTATGTTGCTCTGCTAAAGTGTAAGTTCGTATTTCAACATTATCATGCCAAACCACACCAGGCTAAAAAAGTATTCATTGTCAGTTGATGGCTTTCAGAAAAAGAGTGTTGTTTGAAAATGGTATACGTTGACAAAGTACGAACTTTCGCTTTATCAGACCAACCCTATAGACTGTTAGCTCGTTTGAGCAGGATCCTCTTCAACCTATTGTTCCTGTAAGGTTTTTGTAATTGTCTCATTTATTGTTAAATCTCCCTCTGATAATATTGTAAAGCGCTTGGGAATATCATGGCGCTATATAAATACCACTAATAATAATAGGAAGAAGAAGGACTGCAATCATACAGAGAGCAATATAAATATTAAACTCTTTGTTAACAGTTTAAGAGATACCCACGGATGGTGCCTAGAACTCCAGGCACCATACCCACTTCAGTGTGCTGTAGGAATGATGGCGCCTATAGTGTCCTTTTAAGTAGGGATTTGTATAAAAACACTGAAGGAAGTCGTATACACAGGCTTATTCAAAAAAAACATACATGGATGGGAATTCACTAGGGTTTTGTAAATTCTAGGCCCACATAGTGAAATGGGAGATATTCTTCAAGTCAACTCTGTTTCCAGCCTAGATATTTTGACCTGAATGCTACAATTCCCTGGTGATTCCCCGGCAGGTAACAGTTTAGTGAATTTTAATGTCAGTATATTCTCCAGATTGTTGCAGCTGTTCATCCAAGGATAATCAATGAAGTTTTTTGCAAATCCCATTTAATACATTCATACTTTACTATCAACCACTGTTGTGTTGTCAAAATGCTATATTTTATGTAAATTTTTTTTTTTAACTAAATCTGCAAATGTATCAAATATTTGATAAATAGTTTATCGTATATTACACATTGACATTCTAACTGGGGGTCAGTCCACCTGTAACAGAACCCCTGTTATTGCCTGGAACCCCAGACTCAACCGTGTGCAAAAGCCCCCTTTTACAGACTCTTCTGTATTTGCTTCATGCAGCTAAGAAAAGACCGTTCATCTAAAATCATTCACCTAAAATGAATGATCGTGCATTTAGCCAAAACCCGTTCGTATACCGAATCTTTTGTCAAACGACCTACCACCCAGAGCAGACGTGTGGCACCTATTAACCTCCCTGACCTGTAAAAACCGCAAACACCTCACCGTTCTAATGGATTAACAGGGTGATCGGCGTTCGTCTGTGCGAACACGTGGCGGCGGCCATTTTGTCTAGTTGAACGCACTCAGCGGTGTTTGGTCTAATGGAACAAATTTTGTCTACCTTTTCAACGAACACCACTGAAACTTCTACCTTCCGTGTGTTCGACTAGAATCATACAAACAGAGTGCTATTTTGGGAGCATAATCATACGAACAGGATGTATTAATTGATAGTAGACACGAACGGTTCCGATAGTGAAGGGAAAAATAGACCGACCGCACAGACTGAATCTGTGGAACTGCTGTTGGCAGGGAACTCTTGTTAAAATTGTATGTATAGTTTTAAAGTTACAGAAAGTGTGTTAAAGTAAATTTTTCCGCTTGGAGATAATTCAGTTGATATAACAACTCAATTATCTCCCAAGCAGAGGGGAGGAATGCACAGTGATGAATGGGTGTGTTTTTACTGTAAATCTGTAACTGATTGGCTTCTGTGTTTTCATCTTCAGTGCCCCCCAGATTCCACGTGGGTGGTAACCTTGCTGTAAAATATGTATAAAAGAAACTGCTTGTGTGGTCATTAAAACAGTACTGCTTAACCCATCAAAACGTAGCCTCGTCTCGTTATTGAAAGGGAACCTGCTCCAGCTTAATCACTAGCTCTTTTAAGAGCTCTGCTTCTCTCTCTACTTGGATCCAGCGGAGGCGATATCGTGATCACCCTGCAGCACAGCCTCTTGCCGGAAACAAGGACGTCTCCAACGGCAGATACCCCTCTACAACCAGGGTAGCCGTTACACCGCCCTAGGTGACAAGCAGCAGGGAGTTCGAAGAGCACCCCATTTTCACCAAAAGCAGTACCTGCTCCGCCTAGTTCATTAAGTAGATGGTAGATTGCAAAGCGGGCCCTGAGGGAGCTACTTTCAGTCTGTGCTCTGATTTAACACTCATTGTGCTGATGCCAGGATCTGGGATGTAATATCACCCCAGCATCAATACAGAATGGCAATTAGTGCACAGAGTGATCCCAGCAGCAAACCACTGTACACCAGGATTTAAATATTATGATTTAAATAAAAATCAAATGTGAGTGTTAGTATTTGAATGCGTGTGTCTGTTTATATGAATGTGAGAGTATGTGTATATGAATATAAGCTTGTGTTAGCATCTGTGTGTACATAAATCTGAATGAGTGTGTAATTAGCATAACAAGTTTAAGGCCAAAATAACCAAACTGAAAACAGAATGTTCGTGGTGAATTTTTCTAATTTGGCTACTCTGGCCTAAATTTAGAAATTCACTTTGAATGAAAATTGTGACAATTCTAACTTGAGTAAATAATATTTAATCTTAAATCCTGTATCACTAGACAAGGAGGCACCTGCTAATGCCTCTGGTAATTGTGTACATTATCATGTTAAGCCTTATACAAAGTTCATCATTATGTTATGTAATAACTATGTCTCAGGTCACTGTGGCTATTGTCTGCAATACAAATGTAAAAAGATTTTTACATTGCCATTTACAAGTTATTTGTGTTTGCCTAAAGCAACCTACCACTGTTGGAAAAAAATTCACTTGCCCCGCTAGCTACCATCCCCCAATGGTCAGTACATGGCATTCCTGAATGTTAAATGGGTTGAATGAAATGTTCTGCATCAACAGAAATCAAAGCCAGACCGTGCTGTCCTAAATCAGCAAACTCATTCTAGCTGTTTTTCATTGCAATGTGACAGTATTATGTAAAACCACATAGAGGACTCTTTTATTCTCATTACCCCGAAGCTCTTCTTATTGTAATCTTAAAAATAGTTTTCTATGTACTTGGTCACACGTACTCTGTTCATCTCAATTTCTTTTCATTTTCAGTTTTTAGGGTTTTTTTAAGACAAGGAATAGTAGGGGTTAAATTATGTAACATACTAGTTTTTTTAAAAGTAACATATTATATGGATCATTTATACAGTGGAACAGAATTTTCTAAATGAATGAAGATGAAGTATAAGAAAAAAATATATATAATAATTATAGACATATATATATATATATATATATATATATATATATATATATATATATATATATATATATATATATATATATATATATATATATGAAACCAGGGGCTATTATTTATTTATTTCACAAAAAAAAGACTTGCCTTTCCAAATGCTTGAAAACATATATTACCAGTAAAAATAATATCTACCATTTTTTTTCTGACTCAAAATCTGTTTATCCTATGGAAATGAATAAGTCAATTATTTAACCTTAAATATCTGTTTACCTGTCTGTTCTAAACGCCCTTTCCTGTTGCGTTTACCACAACCTTTCAATTGGTAAAATAATGTCTGCAGACAGATATGGCATTAAATATATTTCACATATATTTTTTTCCAAAATAGTTTTGGTAAATTGTGTAGTAAAATAATGATAATAACATAAAATGGTTCTTGTAATTTATATTCCTGCTGCTAGACAGAGGATGGGTTCCTAGCAGCACGTCCATCACTGAACAGGAATCCTCATACAGGCTGACGGGAGTGTCATAAAAGGTACCGGTGAGCATATTTGGATAGAATGTATAATGATCTGACCTTGATTTTTCCAGAAACAATAACAGGAGACCACCAAGATTGTATACAGTGACTCATCAAATGGGGTTCTATTACATGTTCCTATAGAAACGTATCCTTAAACATATCCCTAACTAAGTGAACTGAGTACGAGCAAGGCTTTTAACAATGACATTGTGAGTCACTGATCATACCCATGTATGGAACGAATGTGTCTCTTCCAAACAGCAATAAAATGATCTCACTTGTTCCAGCTCATAGCTGTGGCGATCTAGTTGAGAATGAAGAATTGTTCTGTTTATCTGTCTTTTATGACAACATCATATAAATATATAAAAGACATACATATATAGACATATAGATGCAAATTCAAATAAAATGATAATCCTCGGCACTCACAAGTACCCACAAGTACTTTCATGATGTTTATTCAGCCATCAAACAGTGTAGGCAATGTTTTAATGCCCGGCAGTGTCTTTACACAAGCCTTAACATCACTTCTATCATACTACTCATATTCAACACAATTAATCTGTCACCTGTTAAAGTAATATAATTAGACTATTATCTCTCTTGTGAATAGATATTAATTCCTAGAATTATGCAGTTCATGTTGTTCTTTGCCAACTCCACTAGTAAGAAAGGTGATATAGTTTAGAAGCATGCCAGTAAATTTAAGAGACAATATGTCCTCAGCCCAGTATGTGTGACAAAGTGACATATAATCATCCATAAAGATGCCATGCAAAATTTCAGTCTAAGTAAGTCTTGTCAAACTTATTTAGGTCGAAAATGTTGTCAGGTCAGTCTGATGACTTAATGTCACTTTGTCACACATACTGGGTCGACGACCTCTTTACTTGCTACCTAAAGGTGGAGAATGTCTTCCTAACAGGACATAGAGGTTGTATTTTGCTACTCCTGACTTTGTGTAAATATACGAGAATTTACATGCATATTAATTCATTGTCATGCGAAACTCAAGCAAATACATTTTCACTAAAGTGAGAATAGTTGGGTATTCAGTGTGAATGCAACTCATTTAAATTTCAAATTTAAGGCCAAAATAGTAGATGTGGAAGCATAGCTGACTTGGCAAATTTTCCAGTTAGATTTTTAGGCCTTAAGTTTGAAATACACATTGAATTCACTTTGAATTCCCAGCAGGTCTCACTTTAGTGTGAAACCCTGTAAGATTGAAAAAATTTATATATCTTGGCTTCAGTTTTGGAACTTATAGCTATAAACTCTACAAAGCTCACTTTGTCACTTCAACAGAGAATATAAAAAGTTTAAGAATGGGCAAAGGCTCAGAGAAAGCTCAATAGCTGGTTAGTCCACGGTCAGGGCTCAAAAAGGTTTTTGCTCATTTGTGCTGGCAAATTCCCTCTAAATGCCTTTGGGCCCTGAAGATTTTATTTAGAGGAAGTGGAAGAATTTCCTTTCTAATAGATTGATTAATCATACTGTGCAGCCTGTTGTGCTAATATCAAACACCTGTCACTTACAAAAGCATATTTGATAAAAGGAAGGGAGAAAAGGGCATGTGGAAGAGGAAATAGCTGATAATACTTTGTCCTGTTACACAAAAATAAGTAATTTTTTGTAATGCACACATTTCCAATTAGAAATTTTATCAGTCAAGAGTTTTGAATCAAACAATAAGAGCTGAACGTCACAGTACTATTGCCCAAGATAATACGATTTCCTCTTTTTAGCAACTTCCAAAGTTTTATTTAACTTTATTTAACAAAAAGTCAATTATACTTCTTTTACTTTTACTAGAGGCATTATACTATTTTATATTTAATAACTTAGTTCCCTTTTTCTATAATAGCTTCAAAACACAGTTTTGAGTACAAATGTGCAACTCAACCAACTCTACTATGCAGCATAATTCTTAAAATATATAAAGCATTTTCATGATTTCATTTAGCTTCAACAGTCCTTCATTTTACAGTCTATTCACAGGTAGGACAATACAATAAAGGTTTTGGTGCAAGACTATTTTATGTATATCATTGTATAATAACTCTGAATTAGAGATGTCGCGAACTGTCCGCCGGCGAACAATAGCGTGTTCGCATTGGGCGAACATATCCGATTTCCGGTCCGCCCCTATACGTCATCATTGAGTAAACTTTGACCCGGAACCTCACAGCCAGCAGACACATTCCACCCAATCAGCAGCAGACCCTCCCTCCCAGGAAGTGTCTGCTGACTGTGAGGTTCCGGGTCAAAGTTTACTCAATGATGACGTATAGGGGACGGACCGGAAATCGGATATGTTCGCCCAACGCAAACACGCTATTGTTCGCCGGCGGACAGTTCGCGAACAGTTCGGCGGACAGTTCGCGACATCTCTACTCTGAATATGTCTGTCTATCTAATTGTGGAAAAGAATGGATTTGGGGAAACACGTGGAAAATGCATTTTTCAGCAGTGGTACTGTCTTAAAGACCACAATATATACAAAATACAGATTAAGGAGCAGTGCACACACAAAAACTACAGTTTCAGATTTTATAAGGCTTATTAAAACACCTATCTTAGCAAACAAACAAGGGGATTCAGTCACATGCAGGCCCTCTGCCTGCATACGAGGCTGCTCTCTGGGGGAGGATCCGGGGATCATGGTCTGGTCTCTGGATTCAGTTGGAGCTGTGAGAATGGTGGATTGGAGTG